TCGAACAGTTCATCAAGGTCAAGGACAACCAACGCGAATCAATTTATCTTGCGCCATGGACTGGCCCATATGATGGTGGTTACACTTTCGCTTGTACATGTTCTAACTAATATATTTCTGCGATAGCGACTTTCGCGTTTTACGGTCTTCCAAGCAACAATAGTGCTTTAATATTACTAAGGGGTAAACCACGTTAGGTGCTGATCGCGAGGTGTTGCTTCGAAGTTAGCTGTTGGTCACACCATTCCCATCTAACTCAAGGAGGCTCCCAATCATTCGAAATAAATCATCTACGTTGGTGATCTACACACCTAATGAATTTATCCTCATTATCAAAATATCTCATCCTGAAAATTTAGTGTAGTGAAGCACAGTGATGAGGTTATACTTTAATTCATCCTCAGCAGAAGGGTGGCTAAGCGCACGGGTGCTATCGTCAGGTTTTTCTTAGGGTTCAAACATCGTCCATTCTAGTCTAGTCCTTATAGTGTATGGCTCATTTGCCTTTTTAGTCGTTAGATCTTTTATCTCGCATGCGTCCTGTGCACCACATCCGATTAACAATTTGAAATTCTCTACTTCTACCCTTGGAAAGTTCAAATTCTTTAATTGAAAACAGGACGCTCCCTGACTTGCCGTTGATACAGTTCTGTATAATGAACGTAATCTTTCAACCATCCACACCTTTTGAATCTTAACATGCGACGAAAAATTTGATGAATGAAATTTTGTATCGACTTCGTTACATAGCGACAATGACTGATTACTTGACGTCTTCGAGAATACAATTCTATGCATTCCATCTAGGCTCAGGTAGTTGGCTAGTTCATCCGCAACGACCAAAGTTTCTGCTCCACTACCTGAAGTGACATGGGCCTGAATCGTCATGAACACATAAAGGGAGATTCAGTTCCCGTATAGCCTACCCTGGTAATAGTGATTTATTATCCAGCGTGGTTTTCATGTTGTTCACTTGTACCCTATTACTGTCTTCGTTTCCACTTACCTTTTAATTCGTCTAGTTAAACTTTAAATTTAATATAAAATATCTTAACAAGTATATGCGTGACCAGATTTCTCGAAATGTATTGCACGAATATATCACATAATCCTGATAACCATCGTCTTCTCATTGGATTATTAAACTTTGTCAAAGAGACTAGCTGTTTTAAGTATAGATTTTCGGTCCCCAAAGGGATTCGCGATCAAACGATCTGTTTGGCAGAATCACACTATTTTATACCACATAATCCCGATAACCTTCGTCTTTTTATAACATTGTCGAAATCTCTACTTATATTACTTGCCATCAAACCTTAGTTGCACAACTTATTCACTAAAATGAATTCTATTCCCTTGTTAACTTCTCCAGCAGTGAACTTTAGAAAATGGTCAAAATAGGGCTCCCGAGCTTAGTGAACATGGCTGTTTAAATGGGACCAGGTCGTGTACGTCAACCAGCGCAGTTCCTGACGGTGATAATATATGATATTCTAGTCTCCATACATGCATTTTCACAGATCACTGGTCAGAGAGGTGTGATAATTAGAAGTACTTGAATTGTAGTATAAACCAGGAATCCAAAGAATAACGCAAGTTAATTAAGAAGTACTAGATATGCACAAACGAATGTACTGTATTTGGAATTCGAAATCAGACATTCAACCAGTACAAAGGAAGCTTTAGTTCATACAAACAATACATCCGCCATAGCTTAAATTGGAGTCTAAGTGTTTGCAATCGATTATACGTCCTCTTCTTAAGTTCATCCAATGTCTGTTCGACAGTGTACTGGATTAAGACTCCTTATTGTCTAGAATGTACTCATTAGTATTAGAATTAACAATCGAAATTGGACCAGACTCATCTGGTTCCTAGAATTGCATTTGATCAACGTGTCGGTTGTGTAGACTTAAGTCATTGATATCTAGAATTCGTACTATACATTTCCCAACATTCACCACAATCCCCGTGGCTGGTCGAAGATCATTTCCACGATAATATGTAACTTCCGCAGACTCGAAAAACCTTATATTCGAACGAAGAATTTTTCCTTTTATTAGCTTGATGCGGTCTCTCTCGCTACAGAATGTTTAGCATTCCTCTATTGCAGTAGACATATATCTCCTTCTTTCTCCAGTTCATTAAAGCAGCAATGAAGTAGCAATGGAATTAATAGCAGTTTCCGATTTCCTGATAAGATTTTCTGCCTGGCCATCAGAAAAATGAAGCCTGGGAGCAGTGAATAAATGTCTGCGCTCTATACCATTCAACCAGTTAGTGACTGCATCCGCAGCGAAATGAGAGTCATTATCCGTCACTAACACCATAGGAAATTCTTTGTCGACTAAACACCTTTCTCAATGCTTGGATTGTGAAGTCAGATTTTGTTGAAGTTGTGATAAACTTCAGGTCACTCAGAAACAGAATCAATGATTACGAGTGCATAGTATTGGCCGAGAAATGGACCACAATAGTCTGGATGAATTTTCCGCTAGGCCTCAGATGATACTGTCCATGGACTTAATTTCGAACGCTGATTTCTGGACTTATGATATTTTCCACAATTGTTTGCTGTACGACATGCGTCTGAATTTATCTCTGACCACCAACATGATTGTCCAGAAATGTATTCATCGTGTTGAATTTGTTTGGCACTTCTGTACTGAACCGTGTAGTCATGGACACTCAAAGAAATACTCCATCGTTGAGCCATGGAATCCGAGCAACGTGCTAAGGTTTTTCGGGATGATAAATAAACTTTAAAGACTCATGGTCAGTAACAATAGTGGATTTCATTCGGAATAAATATTTATGAACTCTTTTAACAGCCCAAAACACAGACAATGCTTCTCGCTGAGTTTGTGAATAACCTTGTTCAGTAACAGTAAGTTTACGCGAAATACAAATAACCAGTCTACCTTCCTGCTACAAAACTGCACCAACACCCATAGGTGATGCATCAATAATAAGTGTGGAATATACACTGGGGGAGTAAGTTCGAAGAACAGCATCACTTTGAAGAAACTTTAGTAGACTTCATAAGCATGATTTTTGTTCCTCATCCCATTTGAAGCAATTGGATGTCAAAATATTAAAAAAACAATTTGCACGGAAAGAAAAATCTGAAATAAGACGGGAATAGTATTGAAAGGCACTCATTAGTGAAAGTAGTTCTATAAGATTTTCTGGAGATGGTGCATTTGTCAGTGGAGTTCGTCGTGTGATATCTTGTTTAGAACCATTACCATCAACTAGGTATCCAAGACATTTGAAACTGGATACACAAAATAAACACTGAATTGGATTCACTATAATATTCTTCCCAATTAAACGACGTAATAAAGCAATAAGTCTCTGGTCATGAACTACCTTATCAGAACCATGAACAATGAAATCATCTTGATGAACTTCAACAACTTCAAGATCACTGACTACCTTATTCATAACTTCCTGAAATATGGCTGGAGAACAACTTATATTAAATGGAAGGGTGTTGTATTTAAACAGACCAAAAGAAGTGTTAATTGTGGCCAAAATAGATGGAGATTGATCTAAACGCATTTGAAGATAAGCATCTTTTAATCCGACTTTCAAGAACACTTTAGAATCATGAAGTCGACTTACAATATGTTCAGCCGCCACCGTCGTGCATGTTTGTTTCAACAAACAAGAGTTCAGTGTTAATCTATAGTTACCACATATTCTAGGGGTACTACCGTACGAATTCAATGGCGTAACAATAGGAGTACCCCATACTGAAGACTGAATAGATTCAATTATATCTTTCACACACAAATCGTTCAACGTTTTGTATACTGTTTCTCGAAGACCATAAAGAATTATTCGTCTCTTAAGAAAGACTGGTTCACCCTGTACTTGACGTTTTATGGGCTAAATTTTAATACCTTCACTGCACCTAGCACACGCAGCTATCAAATCTTTAAGTAAAACATCGGAATTGTCTTTGGAAACTAGTAAAGACAACTCCACATTAATTCCTTTCAAGTTTTTTAAATCCAGTATTGACAGTCCTGTTTCACTGACTAAAAATTCACAAGGCATGTATGAAGAATTATCGTCTATTATTATCAATTCATAGCATCCTCGAATTGGAAGTTTGACGAGGAACATTAGTTTTCAAAACGGCAGACAAAGATAAATGATCATTAGGAACAGCCGAATTACTGGGATCTAAATGACAAGATTCAGTACCACTTGAGGTAAAATGAACAGCAGCTTTGTATACTGACTGAACGTGTCCTATCTTACCACATTTAAAACATTTAGCATAACGAAATGCACATGAATTACGAAAATGAAATTTGCCACAGAATAAACATGTAACAAACTTGATCTCACCTTCGTTGTTTGCTTTGTAATTCCTTGTTGAAACACCCTTCATATTTACACGAGATTGGATATCAAGTTCATTCACTGCCTCGTAGTTAATACATACAGGCATTTCTTGACCAGAATATTTCTTGTCACTAGAAATATTTTTGAATTATATAAATCCTAACAACAGTTCATTTATAGTTATCAACTTAATTTTGTTTGCTACTTCAGTTTATTCCATTATCTAGTTTGTATTTGTATATGATTATTTAGTTATTCCTTAAATATACTGAAAGTTTATGATTGTTCACCAACACGAATAAAAATATATACACGTCATAGTGGTATAAAATTGGAGAGAACTTATGTAACGTATTTTTTATTCAGAATAATAAGACACCAATGAGAAAAAGCTAATAGTAAGCAATACGTAGTACATTTTTCATTGAATGAGTAAATGCAATCAGGAACTAATCATCAAATGTCATGGAAATATATTTTTTTTACGATAAGGATGGTATTCATTCGGCGATTCATTTTTTTAGTTGTGATTAAATTTCTTACTGACAATGAAGAAACTACATGTTCTGAATTTCGTTTCGATAAAGTTTGGTTACTTTCAATGATGGTAACTGGAGTCTTCCAGTAAAAGCATCATTACATTACCCCAGTAAAAGAATACAGACATTACTAAACAAAATAAATATGTCCTCGAAATGTATCAGAGAGTGATTTTTATTTTCATATTTTCTATCCATTCCATTGGCAGGTATGTCAGCATCACATGCCAGTTTTATCCCGTACGTTATCTTGAAATCTGTGTTCGGTAAATTACTAAATAATCTATCAAAAATGAAAAATTTCTCCAATTAATTACGTTATAAATTTAAATGGAGCAATAGTTTTTAAAGTCAAAATACTGACCCGAAATTTGAAACTTTATGAAGTTGGACAACGAGATATCTTTTTCAGATACAACTTTATAAACGTTTACTCAGTGCTTTAGCAATGTAGCGTTGAGCATACGTAGGAAATTTAGCTTTTTCATCATTCTGAGTGTCACTGGTAAATAGTTATCTAATCAGTATGACTTTTAAGAATTTATCGGTAAAGTGGAATGACTACGTATTTAAGATAAGTTGAAAATCTTTGCTTTCATTTATTTTCTTTATACAGTTGGTAATTATGAATGTAAATAAGTATTCATTTATTTTATTATTATCATTTCTGACATTCATGGATATTGTTCCATAGTGCACTGCTGTTCACTTAATGGAAGAAAAGCAGTAAAATTCAAGTCAAACGAATTTTTCTATCTGAGCTTGTCATCTGAATTCACAAGGATCTTAGTAGCCACAGCCTATAAAACAAAAATCCATAATGGGTTTAGAATTTTGTAGATACACCTGTTTCATTTAGAAACAATATTTGATTACTTTCAGAAGAGAAAATATATATGATTGGGTTTATGATCGCGTTATCTGCGATGAAAACATGGAAGGTATACAACGGGAGTGACTTCGTTGTTCAGATGAATATAATCTACAAATATAACATATTACCTGTACTCATTAAATTAGTTACTGTAAACTGTGTTTAGACAATAACAGTGCCTTCATTGTAGACGTGTGCTGATAAGATTTTATAAAGAATATATGATCTAACAAAGGAAACTAATATGAACTTAGATGAAAAACAGACTTGAAACTGAATGAATTTGTAATTCTTTTGTTACGATTTGATTCAGTGAATGATTCTGTTACTTCATGTAAAACCAACTGGTATGTAATCATGAGAACAAAATGAGTGAAAAAAAATCATGCAGTGTTTTCCATGTAGTCAACCAACAGGTTCTAAACATCATAAATGATAAGCAAGTGATTTTGTTAGGCTTTTAGCTTATTTAATTGTCTAATGAATTTGAATATAACGTCATATACAGTCAGCGGACAAAAGAAATTAAATCCTAAATATTCGTAAATGAAATTTTCTTAGTATTACATATATTTTAGACATGCTATGGTGTGTGCTACTTATATTGACATAAGTAGTATATAATGTTAGTCGTGAACAGAAGGTCTGGCAGCAGAGTGACAAGAGGATCGAACAGTAAAGAACAGAAACAGGATGTAATTTGTATGAAAATGCAAGAGAAATGAATTCTGAGTCATTTTGAGACAATTGGTAGACATTTTGCAAACTAAGCATTTACTTTATGATTGTTAGATTTTATTAACAAGTCCTGTAATTATGCGTCGGTTACATTCGATTGTCCCCACTGGTACTCTTGTTCATTACAGTCCCAGTACTCTAAAATCGGTATTGTTTTATTTATAAATAATATAATAGTACTGCAGCAGATATCATATAAGTCCATAATTTCTAGGCGGCTATGAAAAACAATCGAGTAATACCTATTTAATATTTCATTGTCTCAACAATTTAATTAACTTAAAAAAATGATGTTTAAGAGAGAAATATAAGGTGAAAAGGTGTTTGTTAAAACGATTTGACTAGAAACATGTGTAACTTGAATAAAATATCAATAAAATCCAAGTTGCATTAGAGAATGAAATACGTTTTTTCAGAAATTTAGTTCATTTCTTGATTGTTCGGTAAACATATTCTGCAAACATGGTGGATTTCGAGCGTAAATCGATCTACTAGTAAACAAATTATTTTTAGACATTATATTTAGGTGAATGATTGTTTTTAAAAGTTTTCCAGGCTCTTAAGTTATAAATCCATAAATATGTTATATGAAGCAGTTTCTTGGAGAATATAGATAAAAGTCATGAACAAAATGGTCACCATCAGCATATACGAACGTGTATTGTAAAGATAATGAATAGCAACTGGAAAGTATTGCCCAGTACAGAGGTCAATGTAAAACCCTGGTTGGCGGCCTATGCTCCACTATGAGGGGTAACAGGCATAAGTCAATAAGTATTATAAAGAAAAACAATTTTACTGATCCCAGTAAGTAAAATGAAGATGCTTTTGGTCAAATACACAGTGATTGTCCACCACATGTTTAATAACGGACTTTACAGACTGACAGATGGATTGAAAATGGGACACCATCTAGGTCCAATATTGATTGACAGTTTTCTGGTGAAGTTAAAAAATATGTCATCTATTATTTTGGCTGGTGCTAAAGTGTTAGTCAAATAGGCTGTATTTACAGGACTTTATCACTAGGTTTACTCAAACTTACAGCATGGATGGGAAAATCGGGTATCACGTCTATGGCTAGTGCAACTCTTTCCTATTTGATAAACAATATGGAAAAAACTGTTATGTAACAAGCCCTAGTATTTCGCAAAATGGCACTATATCTATGCCGTAAGCCATCCGCATCTGCTTACAGAACTATATTTTTGAAAAAAAAACCTTGACGTATTCAAATCCACTTGGTTTATCCTACGCCAAAATATGGTAGTCCCGACTTTAATCCAAATAATTTTGGTAATACTTTGCATAAAAGTTTTCCCAATCCTCTTTATCAGTTGCTTCTCATGATGTATCCCTAATTGGACATTCATCTTATTATTTAATATTTTTATTACTATTATGATTATTTTAATCATCATCACAATGACGATGATGAATTAATGTCTCTTCTATATTGATTTCTGTAGACTGAAGTTATGAGGATTGATGAACTTGCACTATTCATCATGCACTGATTTAAAGTACTGTTAAAAACTAAGAAGCACTGAATATTAAAAGACTCTACGATAGTGTTCATTTATGACTACATCAAGAACAGAACCCATATCATTCAAGTTATTCAATGAGGATTTAACCATTACGGTATACTCATAATTTTGGCTTTCTGTATGCGGTTTTAAGCTATTGATCAGAACTCATCAGCTTGAGGGATAATATTTTCTTACCGGTTTAATGATCTTTCTACTTCCTTAACAACGGGTTTTGTTTTTAATTAAAAAAATAATCAATATGAAATTCATTGTTTTAATTTTTTATAATACTAAGTAATTGAATTATGAGTTTCATAAATATGCCTTAATCTACTATAAAAATTGGTAATTCATAATTGTACAGCCTAAAGTTATTTAAAACAATCGTTCTGTTCAATATTCTTTATTTCTCAATATTCTATCAACATTTTTGAATGGTTTCTAGTTTTCAAAAACATGAGGGTTTCTTCGAAGATTGTTTATAACCATACTGTAATCATATCAAAATTATTTTATTGCTGGGACAATAGGAGATTATAAATACTGATTAATCATAACATCACCAGCATTAGTTCTAATTGTCTTACAGTAAAACAAATCAACAAATGAATTTAACCTTTCAATAAAACATGATAGTTTCGTTACGAAAAAAAGAAAATGTAATCAGTTTACAGTATTTAACTAAGCTTGTCATTCTCCGAATTTATGAATAGTATCAAGCCTAGATGCCAACAACTATACTATCAAATATTCCCTTCTTTCATTTCAAAAACAATTCAATTAGGCTCAAGGAAAATAAGCGTTATCTCGAATAAACGTATGTAGAGCCATTCATTTATTTATTTTTTCTTGACAGTAAAATGAGAACTACATACTGATAACAGCGAAAGCAACTGTTAAAAAGCTTCATAAGAAAAAAAAATAATTTTTTTAGTGATAACATATTGATAATGGGGTAACATTTAGTTCATTATGTAAAAGATGGATGACAGACAAGAAAGTAAGATTTAGAAATATATAAGGGTGTAAGGAAGTAGATAAAAAGAGGGATGCGAACCAACTGATTGGCATTGATTTATTTATAATCACTGATAAGAAATCTAATTCAAATTTAGTGGCCTGAAACTGGAATACGAAAGAACTTATTTTCTTAAATCAAAATAAGGATAGAGAAAAGAAGTGTATATCCTTTTTTCGAGATAATTTGATTGCCTGTTTCAATGAATACAAGGTGGATAAGTCGTGGAACATACGAATTTCACCGAATATCAAACTTTATGTCAACAGCTTTACCAAAATGAAGATCTGCTAAATGTCTCACACATTTTTATATTGATGAGTCTGTAGTTGATTCTATATGCAGATAATTAAAGAATTTCAAAAATCTCGGCTGGTTGTCATGCAACCCAAGATGAATATCCACGTTTACAGTTGCGGAATTGAATATGCTAGAAAACATCAGTGAAACTATAACTTGTGGACGACCTTTGAGCAACGCTAAAATGACCTTGGAATACCCATCAACTTAATAGGGTTAAATAACTTCACCTGTAACTTTTCTATGGTTACTGCCGGTCACAAACCCGGGTAAAAGAGGAAGGTTGGGTATGAAGTCTGCAACCTAATCTCGTAGAAAACGATCTTACTAAAAAACGCTAACCAAAATAAACAAATTAAACCATTGAAACTCCGCTCTCCGAGTTGAAAGAAGAATTATGACGCCTCATGATGAAAGCTGAGATTCTTCAGAAGTCACGAGGCTGGTGCCCCTTCTAACAACGACAGCAACAATTAGCATAGGTACACGGAACGTCCGGACAATGTGGGGGACCGTAAGGATCAACCAAATAGCTATGAAAATGAGGAGATAGAACTTGGTGGTCCTCAGAATCAGCGAAACCCAATTTACAAAAGCTGGACAGCAAAGGCTGAATGCTGGAGAGATGCTGCTGTACTACGGTCATGGAGAGTGCTCTGATGCTGTCAAAAGAAGCACGAAATGCAGTTACTGCATGGGGATCTCATGGATGCAGGATCATCAAATCATCTCTCAAAACAAAGAAGTAGGGAATCCCAGTGAATTTTATCAATTGTTATGCACCCACCATTGACAACAACGTAGACGATAAAGATCAGTTC